CAAGATCGAAACAACGAAGGAAAAAGGTAATTTTCTGTCTAACTGAGTGCCACGGTTTAATGCCATTTTAATTGGAATGGTGACTGTAGGAATTTATCGGAATCAAATTAGTCTTTTTGTTGCACGCGGCTTTTTAGAGAAATCCTCCCATTGACGATGCATGGAAATGAATTTCTGAATAAAGGAACTTCGACCTATTCAAATGACACAAACACACACATGTACAATGTTCGGCCATCAATTTCGCTTGATCCCTTGTAATAATGACTCAACCCAACGAGAAGTTAATTATGTCGAAAATATTCCTTACTTTCAAATTGGATGGTGTTTCTTTTGTATGCATTATATTCCAATTTAATCGCTCCTGTCGACGATGGCTCCAAATGAGCCAGAAAATGAGTCAGCTCAACAAATTCGCGTTACATTGTATGCTCCGACCGTACTTATGGCGTATTAAATTTCAAGCAATTTGAGGATTTCGACACACAAACACGCCAAATTTTTGTGAAACGAAAATATATTTCGATTGATGAATTTCGGTAGAAAATATGGTCAAAATAACTTCATGTGAGAGGCTGTACGGTACTGACAAATCGCATTGAGATTTGTTGTGCCGAACGAAAACCGCCAAACCGCATAATCAACATAAGCAATCTGTCCGATGTGTTATTTAAACGTTTATACACTTTGACCTCAAATTACAACGTGCATTGCCGCACTGCGCTCTCTTCGCTGAGGTGCTTACAGTGCACACAGCTTAACCGATCCGGCAGAAAATGAACGAAATGCAGAGACAGAGGAAGAGAGACACAAAGAGCGGAGAAGAAAAAGAAAATATGGCAGTAAAATAAAAAATTAACATTTTCTCCTTCTTATTCGACTGCAATTTTAAACGAATGCACACACGCAACTACTTTTCTTTTTTAATCTTTTCGCCGCTTTTTGCATTTTTTTTCGTTGATCTGATCGTTTTTTTCTTCTTATTTTCTGTGGCACAATTTTCATGAAGGTAAAAAAAAAAACAATCGTGTTTAAACGCCTTTTTTCCGGGTGAATCTGTGAGAAACGATTATTGGCGATGCCAATTGCATGTGTGGCTGTGCTTCAATGCAGATTGAACTTATTGAAAATATTCATGTTTCTTTAAAAGTACTCATTAAATGTGAAGCCCAAATCACGGCTTTTCGAAATCGAAGAGGTCGTCGATCAATTTTATGCGGAGATAATGTTCAATGCGCTTACCTATACGATCAATATGGAGATCTGATCCTTTTTTAAAGCGTTTCTTTTCTTCTTCTTTTTCCGGCTGGCGTTCTCTCGATTTTGCTTTTCATTCTTTCTCGTTGCTTTTTCGTGATCTCGACCAAGCCCATATGGATCCAATTTTTTTCTCGTGAAGGAAATAAATTTTATACTCATTTCAAGAGTCTACATCAATATTATGAAAGCAAAGAGCCGCAGTAAAAATTATACCGAGAACAAGATTTAAGGTTAAGAAAATTGATGAAGATAAATAATAATCGAATGGGAAAGCAACGCCAAAACGGAATAAGCAAAATCAATAAGAGCGTATGGTTTGCAAACGCGTGAAATCAGTTGATAATTTCGGCAAATTGCCGCATTGATGATCGGACATCATATGGTCGATGAAACTGCTCGTAGATTTAAATGGCATTAACCCTAGATGTATGTTTGGGTGTCCGGCTATACGTTACAAAAATAAATAAGACAGATAGATAGATTTTATGAGGTTTTCTACTTTCTACAATAAAGAGAGATCAAAAAATTGTGAAATCGTTTTTTTTTAGAAAACATTTGCATCGTTCGCTTGATTGGAGTCGATTATTTTATTCGCCTGATTCGGTGGACGAATGTGTGAGCACTGAGCAAGAGCATAGTGTTCAAATTGAGCGCAGCTGCAGAGTTAACAGAATTAACGTATTCAATCGTAAAAGTAAACTTCAATTAAAAGTATAAGCCATTAATTCGAAAGCATCGATAGTTTTGAAATGTTGGATTTAACGACCCCGTATTTGATCATCAGCAAACATAAACCGATCATCGACACAGTCAATGTATGTTGAGTGAGTTTGTGTATGCATGCATATATACTCTTAATATATCGAAGAAGAAAAAAATGACTTAGCATTTATTTGAAGATTGAGTCTGCGATGAGATTCATCTTTCATTAAATTAGCTATTTTCCTTCATTTCTCGAAGATTGGTGGTGTCTGTGTGAGTGTGTATTGTGTAATGTGTTTCTTTTTCCTTCTACGATGCCATGAAAATGATGTATTTAGGCATACCAGAGTCCATGTTTGGCGTGTGTAGTACATAATGAAAATCGTTCGATCACTTAATAATGAACATTCCGATGTTTTGCTGTAAAAATGCTCTATCGTCGGTGCAAATAGCTCAGATCGGATCGGTGTCTTATAAACGGGCACAAAGAGTCAACGCGCATACAGGAGAAGTAGAGAGAGAGAGAGAGAGAGAGAGAGAGAGAGAGAGAGAGAGAGAGA